CGGGGTGCTAGTGTAGTTTTGAGTAATACTTTATTATTTAAAAATGGTAAATGAAATAAAAGGAATAAACAATACAAATGGCTAAATGCGTCATTGCGGTCTTTTTACTCTATTATACATGTTATTACCGTTACTGAGACAATTTATAATTTATCTTAAAAAAGAGATTATTTACTTCGATTGTTTTCCAAATTTGGACATTTTTATTAAAATTTTAAACAATACAATTTATTTGTGATAACCTTAAGTTAAACATATATTTTTATGAGGCACAGGCACAAAGAGATTCACATACAAACTTCTTTAAACATAGGATGTTTTTGGGATTTGAGCGATGTAATCCCCTTAGTTGCGCCGTTACAGGCCTTAGGATCGAATCGCACACATATAAACTATTTGTATGACCTACATTTCGGGTCTGGATGTTTGTCAACGTGCAATTCTAATATTGGATACGTGTCAATTATGGCAAATATCCCCCCGCTTTTGAGCCAATCTATGGGAGAGGCTTATGGTTGAGTAGTGGACTTTTAAAGGATGTGGTGATGATGATGAACATGACGAACTTATGTATGTGTTACACTTATTTATTTATTTACTTTTTATTGCAAACCAAAATACAAAATATCGAGTACAGTTAAATCTAAAGTAGAATATGTACAACAGGCGGTCTTATCACTCAATGTGATCTCACTTCAATATGCGCTTATACGCTTTCATAATACAAAGGAAATACCTAGTGTGGGGGTAAGTTTTATAACAAAATATTACTGGTCATGGGCCAAGAATGCTTTAGAATCTAGATGGCGAGCATTATTTAGAAGATTCGCCCATATTCCTCACATGGAATGGGTGGGTATAGTGATCGCATCCCTACCCAATGCGGTTGCCAGTGTATCGTCTGTCAAACTGCAGTTGCCACTTATATTCCCGTTATTTATATAATCAAGTTGTTTTTAAATATTTTTTTTCTTAAAATAAATGTCTTCAACCCTAGAATAGATAATATAACAAAGTGCTATATAGATACATAGTGTACGTAGTTGTTTCATCATTTGTTATTGCTCAGTACCTGGATGACCGATTACATTTAGATATAAATTACATACTAATGGAACATGAATAATATTTTTTGATCTTATTGATATAATAGAAAAAACTGAACTGGTTATTTGAATAAAAAATCATGAGTGCAATTAGTTTAAATAAAATTTTCGTATTTTTAATAAATACTCAAACAAAGGGCTCGAAATAATAGATTTTCTCACAAAAGAAGGGAACTTGAAAAAAAAAAGGAAAAAAGTTGGACCGAAGACAGGACGCAAACCAATTTCGCGACCGCTCGATATCCACTTGAGATATTACGATCATTAACACTGTCAAAATTTACCTTCCTATATTGTAGCAGTTTTTCATTGCCTGAAAACACGGACAAAAAGACATTTTCTAAAAATAAATTGCTCGTTTAAAGGTATAGGATTTTCGAGATTTGAAATGTGTTCTATTTTCAATTAGCAATATTAATCAACAACATCTTCTCATTGATCATATTGTTCTATTTTCAATGTAGGTACATTATATCATTATTACGTGCCGATATAGCTTGATTGTGTTTTTATTTCTTATAAAATATATAAAAGACGAATCCAAAGTATAAATAGTCATTTTCGTATCTACTCGTATTTAATTTTAGAGCTTCGATCAATGATATCCTACGCGCTGTCAATATGATAAGCTTAGAACTATGTCAGACCTATCGCGTGAAAGTGTTATTAACTCTGTTTGTGTTATAAAATGAAGCTTACTCAATGTACATAGAGCTTAAATTTTGCCCCGTATCGACCATTTTGTAAATTTGAAGACCGTGGCGTTATACCTATAAAATTTAATTACAAATGTTTCAACATTAACGTTCCTTCCGCCTCAATTCTTGTCTGAGAGGTTGCTTATTAGTACGTTACCAAGCGCTGTAATTACTACAAAGAAATAAATAAATCCAATAAAATATTGTATCAAGCTTTTATTTCAAATAAATATTTTCATTTTAACAGTAAAGTAATATTAAACAAGCTACAAGTAGCGCATGTAATGAAAAGTTACTTTCTCTACTAGTCCACTCTGTAAGAATAAAAATTTTTAGCGGTATTCCTATAAAGTTTTGCAAAACAGTAATACAAAAGTCTATCCCTGGACATGGTCCTTTACCATAATAGGGAAGATCCCTTCGCGTCTTTTGACAGGCAGGTTTACTGAACTTCCACCCATCTGTATTAAATTTATCGCACCATTGACGCTGCTCCACGTTGCCGTTCTCGTTACACTAATTATGTCGTGTAGTTGCGACCTGTTTCATCCGTAAATAGTAGCCATTAATAATAGTCAAACTTGTTGAGTAGAAATTAGACTTTTAGGAAATGTAAAAGCCGACCTCAAAAAACTAAAAAAAAAATCTAAATAATTTCCGCATAATAGGTTCAGAAGTCGGTGCTTTGTGTATAGAAGTATTGAAGCTGCAAATTCTGAAGCTGTTATAAAGTGCTTTGAAGTCGTCTTTTATTTGTTTACTAAAAGGTAAATTTTTCACCCTTTTGAGTAGATTAAGGAATATCAAAATCTTGAATATCGTCGAAATAGTTCATACACTTTTTTCCAACCGTACTAGTAGAATTATTATATGCCTGAGGTATAACCTATTTCTTAAAAAAATAATCGTTGAAGTCGGTCTATACTGACGAATATATTGAGTAACGTACATACGAAAAAGAAACACTCGAATTGACACATTTTTTTGAAGTCGGCTAAAAGTAGAAATTATTAATTAGGTAACTCTTATATACATCTGCATACACTCTTAAAGTCTGTCTCTCAAATTGATACGCAGAGACTACGGGTGTTGACTTCCATTTGGCACGATCCTGACATACGTCACTCGGTTTTTCTCTTGATTCTACGCATACATGCTCATCGTTCGTCGGTTAAGGGTACACTTAATTAGGCCCAACTTTAAGGTAGCAGTTGACATAAAAATTGTAGTTAAACGCAAATTAGTTATTACTATTACTTGTACTATTATGTATTCTGTGCTACTATTAGAGCTCTTGCTAACTGCTAAGAAGGTTTAAACGCATGTTTCCAAAACGCGTTTAATAAGGAATTTAAACATTGAATTTTCAAGTACCAAAACCGTTATATAAATCTTAACATATAAAGTAGCTACTTTATTATGCATACAAGGTTAAGTTTAAGTACCTTGGGCATTCATTTAAATTCTCTAAAGAGCGTATTTAAAAGAACTCTAAATATAATATTTCATTCATTTAATAATTTAAAATGTTTTACTTGGCACGCGGTGACTGGTGGTTGCGGTCCTGGCGTTTTCGTGTTCACTTTGGTCGCAAGGCGTTTGCGGGGGTGTGCTTTCATACGCGACTTCTAGTTGAGGATCTAGATGAGGATGAGAGTGAGGGTATAGAGAGTACACCTTTGCTTGATCATACACACAGGCACTATGATCCTGTCCTGCGCCGATTGCTAGCCTCCGTTGAGACTGGCCGCCGCGAACGAAATCGGTCTGGAGGACATTATTACTATCATTATTATCCTTACTTGTAAATAATAGTGCCTGCGTCCCCGTACCAAACCGCATCCGTTAAGAAATGACATGCCTCATGTAAAGGAAATTTCACCAGGGTGCATGCACCTGGCATTGTTAGCAAAAAGTATTTCCTCGGACTTTTTATATTGTAAAGGTAAAAGCTTATTACTTAGACTGTTTTGTCCGTTTTGTGCCTCATTGACTCGAAGCTTTTGATTAATTAACTTACATGTTTCCACTTTCCAGTAAATCTTGTAAAGGACTCATTAATTCCAAAATTATATTATATGAGATTATTTTAATGAAACTTATAGACTAAGTTCTTTAGGATTATTAAAATTTCTAGATAACATATATTCACTATTGGATATTCACTATTATAATTATTTGGTGTAGCTATATTTTATTTAGGATACTATTGGTACAGCGCATATCCATTTCCATTTCAATCGACATGTCATGTCTTGTATACATCCCATAGAATTAGTGAGATAATTCCGCTATTTACACTCTTGTTAGTTTCCAATCTGCCTTATTATCATGACAACTATACCGTTATACCCATAGAATACTATAATACTTGTGTATTATAGTATTCTATGGTTATACTTCATCAGCTAAAGGGGTAACCATCGTCTTATATATGGCAAAGCTTAATGTTAAGCAATAGATAGAATAATTTATTTATAGTATGGTTCTGTTTAGGACAGCTGTTATGAAACTGAAGTAATTTTCCCAAGTGTTTACATACTAGCAATGCTATTATTATAACTTTACTCATATTCCGCTTTTAATTATCTTAAGACGCTTGTGTTAGGTTCATGACATTAGTCGAATGGCGGATTCGAACACACGACCTTTGAGTTCGCGGTCCGCGCTTTGCCATTAGGCCACTGTCGCTTCAACTTTATATAATTCTTGATTAGTCTGTTTAGAAAAAATATAAATATATCTTTGAAGTAGGTTCGGGCATAACTAAATTCTTTGTTTATGAACAGATTTTAATGATTGTTTGTTATCAATTGGGGTTTAATTTTACGATACGTCCGATACTTTGTTTTAACTCCGATTTCAGAAGCTGTTATGTGGAAATTATTTTGTCTTTTTAAATTTTTTAACCGGTTTTTACGTTCTTTGTAACGTTTAACTATTGAAACCCAGTTTTCGATTGGCGCTTCGTTTTGTACTGTAGATTGCTTAATGCTTTCGCAACTATTTACTGTGATTGATATCTTCACGCGGAAGAATCTGTGAGTCCTAGTTCTTCGATGATTTTATCGTTTGTGCCATGAGTTTCGGATTTATACCGATAGGTTTTTGTGCAGTACACGTAACTAATTTTGGATTACGGCGTAAAACAACAATTATAGCGACGAGTACATATGGTAACAAGTGTATTGATGCGTTAAGCGCGAAGCGAGGTGTATTCATGAAAGGCCGGGGCGCCGGGGTGCTCCGGGTGCCGCGTCTGACACAATTCCGGGCGCCGGCGCGTCGGCTCGCGGACTACAACCCGGCCAGACGACACGCGGTCGCACTGACGAACGCTCCCGCCCGTCTGAACTCCCGTATCTTCAGTAAAGCGATCGTCAATTTGAGTTTCGATTAAAAACATCGACTGTGTAAAATTCGTATTTCGAATGCCGATGGCTATTGTTCGTTTAGACAATGCAACGTGCGTAATTCCACTTCCCGTAATCGTTGTTTATTGACGTTATTGTTTTATCGCTTCTGATATCTGTCGAAAGTTCGACTGAACTTTAAATTCGGCAACTTCGACTTTGTGTAAAAGTGAGATTTTTAGTGTGTCTTTTATAAAAAGTAAACTTAAAAAATTTCTGCCAACCAGCCTGGTACTGAAACCTGACACATTCGTATAGACTGTTTAGAAAAGAGTTTTAACAAAACCGTCAAACTGTATTCCTTCGACAGTTTTAATGTTTACGAGTACGATGACGATAGAAGATGCAATGGCCATGAAGATAGGTTCAACACAGATAAAAAAAGTAAGTATTATGTCGTAGTAAATATAATTCTTAGGTTTATAAGGTGATAATTGGAAGACTATTGCGAAAGTTTAATTTTTTTTATAGAAGAGGGGGTAAACGAGCATACGGCTCGCCTGATGGAAAGAGACTAGCGCCGCATGAACAACTGCAACACCAAGAGAATTGCGGGTGCGTTGCCGGCCTTTTAGAAAGGAGTAGTCTTTTTTCTTGAAGTAACGAGGGAACTGACACCCCACCTAATGCTATGTAGCTTTAAAAACAATCGCAGTGATGTCAACTGGAATATAAAACTATCATATTACTTATCGGAAAATGCAGAACAACGTCTGCTGGGCCAATTAGTTTGAAATAAAACCAGATTTTTTAATAGGATAGGGTGACAAACGAGCACACAGTCCACCTGATGGTAAGTGGTTGCTGCGGCCCATAGACATCTACATCTGTCCTCGATTACAAAACAAAATGTAGATGCGTTGTCACCCGTGAGGACTTACATGGATTGCCTATTTTCCAGTGAAGAGGGTCTCCGGTTCTCTACACTCACCATACGAAGCACAGCAGCATTAAGCTACTATATTACGCCACTGGTATTCTGTGAAAGCTTGGTCCTTCCGGAGTGTATAATGTAACTGCAGCATGGCTTATACTATAAAATATTGTATTTTTTGGAGTAAGATAATTCGATACACTTTATCATCCTATAATGAATATTCTTTATGAATAACTTCTATGCACAACATAGAAAGATATTGGGCTCTTTGAGAAACATAACATAAGTACAAACACAATTATTGTGTTAGTATTGTGCCACTGTTTATATTATCCTACGACAGTTGAAGGTGTGACGAGGGTTACCATGCTTACTTCCATATGGACAGTCTGTTTTAATAACACTATCCGTTTAAATAAGATGTTCTTTTTAATATTAAAAAAAATTGCGATTTTAATATTGTAAAGGTTAAAGAAAAGGTACAGAATATATTTTTTTACAACATAACGTTTCTTTATTTATTAAATTTAGGAAAATATAACAGAAATAGAATAAAATTTTCTACCCATTATAATTCAAATTCAAAACATTTATTGTAAGTTGTGTTACATTTGGCGTTAATTTAAAATGTGATGTGTCTTACAACTTAACCATCACAATTTGTAATAAATTTTAACCAGGTATCCTATTCTGAGGTGAGGTGGTATGGATATTATAGAATTTCTCAAGAACACATTTATTTTAATTCGTGACCCCACGTCTTTCCGTGGGAATTTTAAGAACTAATCTATGGCAACTTCATATCGGTAAGCAAAATATAGAGCGGCCCCCACTAGATGGAGTGACCAGGTAAGATATGCAGGAAGTCGATGGATGATGGATGGTGGCTTAGGATTTTGCCATGTGGCATTCCTTAGGGGGTGTTCGGTAGTAGACTTGTAAAGGGCTGTAATGACGTTGTTTTACTAATTTATACCAAGTGCCAAAAGTAATAACAGTCATGAGTAAAAAATTTTAAAGTATGTACAAGTGTTTGCAAGAAAGAAAATGTGCAGTTTTTGTATAGCAAATAAAAATAAGCTTTCTGTTATGGAAATATACCTAAAGTTTTAAAGTGTGCACCCAATATTTCATTATAAGATTAAAGTTGTGGTATAATTGATGACAGATGATGTTGACTACATCTTCTACAGTTTAAATAAAATTAACAACTTTAGGTACTATCCGCGAAACACACCTTAAAATGTACAGTCCTTCAACAATCGAAGTTTGATATAATTATATGACTTCTAGACGGAGACGTTTTTAAATGAGAGAATTGTTGTTACCTGCTTTAAAAATTACAGTAATTAGTCTAAAATATTTTGTAATCGTCGTCGTTACGTCGTAGTTTTTATAGTAATTACCACTTTGTGGTGTCTCCTAATTTATTTTTTGTTGAAATGGTCACCCTGACTGAGTCGTGCGTCAGTTTCTCGAAGACACTTCATGAAATATTAATGATAAAATGAATTGTATGAATACGTTGTTATTGATAAACATTATGGTCGTGATGGTTTTACACGCTACTCCGTGGATGCGACAGTATCTTATATTCTGGCGTACACTCTGCTGTAGTTATCGTCGTTTTAAAATCTCCGCCAATGCAATCATTACCTAATCGATCTCGTATCACTTGAACATCGGCTACGTATTGTTTCATAAAATATGTTAACTTCCTAAAAGTCAAGAAATTTTGATTTCCCATCAATTTTATTTACCGTGACGAGTTGTACTCTTTTGAAATTCAAAAGCAGATTTCTGAGTGATTATCTTTTCTTCTTCTTCTCATATATAAAAATCAATGGTTGTCCCTTAGTCTCGCTAAAACTCGAAAACAGTTTGAACGATTTTGATGAAATTTTTTATGTGTATTTGAGCGGGTTCCTGGATGGTTTAAAAGCTCAATCGGACCCGGTAGGTGGCGCTGTTGTCGAGATCCAGAAATCATCCGTGCGAAGCCGGGGCGGTTCGCTTGTATTTAGTAAAAATTATAGTAAAAAAAGTCGTGGATTAGAATTTGCCATTCGGTTAATTAACCGTGTATTGGCGGTGTAAGAATATCCACTATCCCCATATCGTCCCGTGCATAGAGTAATTAGACTTAGAGTGATAGTGTCATTCAAAATTCCGTTCAAAGTTGAAGCAACAACACAATGAATGTATATGTGCATAAACGGCCTGTAATTACGTTTGCCCGCACGCACACAAGCAAATGAGTAATGTATGCAAGTAAATGACGATTTCCCCAAAAATGGGCAAAGTGTAATAGTAGACACAGTCGTAAAATTAATATTTAGGTTGCGTATAGAATTATTTATTAATAATTTACAAAGAGAGAAATATAAAATTACTTATATTTGATAACTAATATTTTATTTAAATTATAAATATACGTAATATCTTGTGCTATAATATATATTTACAAATCTATTACGTTATTATATTATTCTGTTAGAAATGATATATTTATATAAGTGTATAGTATTGTATATTTATTTAATTACAACAACATATTTTTACAATTTTTGTATAAAAAATTAAATATTTGTTAACTAATGTTTTAAATATCTTGTGCTAGTATATTCACAAATCTATAATGTCATTATAGTATTCTTAAGTGATATATTTATATAATCAAGTATTATGTATTTATATAAATATATAATATATATTATTGAATAGGCGTTTTTTATTAAATCGAAATAAGATTCGGAAAGAGAAAAACTTTTCAAATAAAACATGAAATTAAAAATATTTATTAAATGACTATATATACCCAAGTACTTACACAATAAATAAAAATACCGGTAATTTCTACTATCGCGGTCACCTCGTTTTTTGGCCCCAAAAAATCGAAAAATTACGGCAGAAAAAAATTTATACTGGTTTCAAGGCTTTAAATGTTCATGACAATGCACTCATTCACGTATAATTGTTGATAACTTTATTTTTAAATAATCAAATGAAGTTGTTATATTTTTTCACAAAGAAAGAATATTTAAAAAAAATAAAAAATGTATGTTTATAATTTTTTTATTGAGTGTAAGATCGAGCGATGCGAGCGAGAGAGAGAGAGAGATCGGGACTTAGGGCATTCCGACTCGGAAAGGTAAGGTTAGGTGGAGAGTTAGAGGAGGGAAGCATCACGCCACTCAACGTAGTGCAGTCGAGGGAAGCCCGGTCGACGGAGCCCTACCTACAGGGCTCCTACTTCTGAGTGGTTTATAAAAAATAAACCACGAAGGAGATGGCGATAGGATCTCCTTCTAACCTAGCGTGTCCGAGTCGGGATGCCCAAAGTACCTAGCTCGCTACGCTAAAAAAATTGTAGATAAACATTATTATGTGATTTTTTTTTCAATTTTTTTTTATTTTTTTAAAATGTGCGTTATTTATATTAAGATATATCAATCACAGTCAAAGATTGCATGATTTTTTTATTTTGTTACAAGATTTTTTTCGAGTATAATATAAGTTATTGATTTATTTTTGAATACATACAACATAGTTAATTCTTTTTATTTTGATCTTTTCCGTAAAAATGACAATTTAAAAAAAAACTCATCGAAGTCGGAATTTTTCTATTTTCTAGAGCGTTTATGATAACATTTAAAGTCTAAAACTTAGTGAGATATAAAATTAATAAAAAAACATTTTTCAATGCCTTTTTTAAATGTTTGTTTTTTGTGTAGATTAAGAAAACAAATATACAAACTGCGTGTAACGCTTCTCAAAAAAGTTATGAACGATTATATACGTTTTTTAAAGTTCGTTTATGATCACATTTAGTCATAAAACTAATGAAATTTTGAGGTGAGAATTTTACTAATTTTTTTTTCCATAAATCCGCCGCAAAGATGAAGATTTAAAAAAAATCATGGAAATCGGATGATTTTTCGATTTTCTAGAGCCAAAAAACGAGGTGACCGCGATAGTATAAAATTACCAAAATACGTAATTATATTAATTAAATAATGTATTTTTATTTGCCAAATAAAAATACTACAATATGTCCAATATTGGCAGCATGTAATTACAATAATAAGAAAATATGGGGTAAAATATTTTACTATG